GTTGGCAGGAAGTATACTGGCTGTTGACTCCGAGGAATGACGAATCCAAGATCTCCAGGCCGAATGGTAGATTGTTCGCTCATGGATGGTTGTAGGCAGCACAACAGGATCCAGATCCACAGACGAGTGTCTCTTTTCCCAGGATGTCCATAAATATATTGGAAGCAGGCCACACCCCTAGGGTAACTCCCTTTCAAAACATATACATCCAATCCCATCATGGGAATAACCCACATCACAACTGCTTAAACCACACAGAATTGTGGTCCCGCCAAGTTGACACACAGCTCCAACTATCACAGCTGCTGTCTAGTCGACCCCAATTCCTGGTGGTCTGTGCGCAGGGCAACAAAATACTGTGCAGCCTTGTGCTCCACACTGTGGCGATCCATAGAGTTTTGGGGTTTTTTTTTTCTCTTCTTTTTTTTTTGGTGAAAATATGAACACCAAAACATGCACCAACACAACAGCTTCCATGTTCACAGTCCATGAGCTTGGTTACATTGCTCGTGGCGAGCCAACATCATCTCTATCCTTTTCTCTTTTCCACCACCCTTAACATAAACTCAAAGCTCCCAAACAAAAACTTCGCCTTCCCCCTCCCTCCCACCCCAATTACCATTAATGTCTTTGGTTTCCACATATTTGTTTATTTCATATAAATGAGATCATACAGTATTTGTCCTTTAGCAACTGACTTATTTTGCACCACATAATGTTTTCAATCCATAGGGTTTTGCTGGTTGGTTATTAGAAATAGACTGCCAAACCTGACTTTTCACTCTGCCATAGTCTTGTATCAGTTAGCTTTGGCTAGATAACAAAACCCCAAAACTCAATGACTAACACACGATTCATTTATTTAACTCACAATTCTACAGGACAGCAACCTGGGCTGGGCTCAGCTGTCGGCTCTTCTGCTGCTCTTGACTGAGCTCACTCGTGCAGCTGCGGTCAGCAGCTGGCCAGCATGGTGGTTCCGTTTCGGAAAGCTGGCTGGTGGTTAGGGGCAGCTGGGTGATTGGTCTCTCACTCTATAGCAAGCAGCCCTGGGCTGGTTCACATGGTATCAACAAGGCATCCCAAAGCAGCAAGCCAGGGCAAGCCCCAGGGCCCTTTTCAATATTCTGCTAGTGTTGGATCTACTTGTGTCCCAAAGCAAGTCTCACGACCAGGCCTAGATTCAAGGGGTGAAGAAATAGCCTCTGTCTCTTTCTGGAAGGAGCTGGGAAGTCACAGTTCTGAGGGGCATGCATATAGGCCAGGAGAAATTTGTGACCATGGTTGAAATGTGTCAGTCAAGGGGCTCATCAGTCAGGACTCTGGTGAGGGCTAGCAGATATAACTGGATTTATACATGGGTGGGCTGTGCTATGTCAGACATCTGGCCATGCCTAGGGAAGCCTGCCAGGCAGGTCTTGGGTATGTGTTTAGGAAGCTGTACTGGTAAGAACTTTACTATGTGAATGAAGCAGGGTCCCAGCAACCAACAGATGAGCAGGGTTTGTTGAAGGGATTGTTCACAGAGGTGTGAGCAGAGTGCAGGAAACCACACAGGCCAGTGTGGAATCGTGTGGGGATGACAAGAGCACAGTTAGCACACCTGGAGACAGAGCCGTCCTGAGAGGGTCACCTGCCAGGAGTGAAGGCCTCAGGTGGAGAGAGACAGCCAGCCCATGATGTCTCTGAGAGGGTTCCAGGGAGTACATACCCTGATCTCACCCTCTCCTCATTGTCCAAACCGAGCCAATGAGTGCAGGGGCACCCACTGATGTCATCCAAACAAGTCATCATCAGGGCAGAAAGGAAGGTGAAGGGTGACAGTAGGGCTCCACTCATGTCCAGCACAGGCCTCCAGCATAGCATGATAGCACTCAGTTCCGTCACTCCCCATTCGGAAGTTCCCCTTGACAAAGCAGATAAGACCCTATGTGATCTGGCCCACATAATCCAGGCCTGTCTGACGTCTCTGGTGTCGTCTCACTACACACACACACACAAACACACACACATGCAGTTGCACACACACACACTTGTGTACGCCCACCACCAACCCTGCCACCCTACCCCACCCTGCTGTGCTCATACTCTGTGTCTTTCAGTTACTGCTTGTGTCAGGTCTGGGGCGTCACACTCACTGTCCCTTCAGTCCAGCACTCCTCCCCTTCTGTCTCTTGTTGTTGTAGCTGTGGTTGCATTGGCCTCCTGCTCTCAGGGACCCCACACACAGCGGGATCAGACCGTTGTCACCCACAGGGTTTCCATTGGCTGGGGTTTTCAGAAGTAGGTCACCAGGCCTTTCTTCCTAGTCTGTCTCAGTCCAGAAACTCCATTGACAGCGGTTCAGCCTCACAGCCACGTGCAAGCCTCCACTGCCAGGTGGTGGGGGCACAGGAGGTGCAGGGGTTGGGAATCGAGCCCGGGTCTCCCACATGAAGGGTGAGGATTCTGCCACTGAACCACCACTGCACCTAATGGACACTGTTGTGTGTGTCGAGTTGATGCCGGTGCCCAGTGACCTGGCACAGTGAGCACTGGGTTTTGTTTCTGCTCTGACTCTTCCTGGAAATGTTCCCTCTCCTTAGAAACTGCCATTCACCGTCCCTGAGCTGGTTCATGCCTCTCCGTGCCGCAGCTCCGATGGGGTTTTCTACACAGGTGAGCATCTCTCCAGCCTGTGGGGCTGGCAGGGACAGGACCTGGGTCACCATGGGCCAGCTTGGGCGCAGGACCAGCAAGATGCACACCGTCGCCCATGCCATCTTGACGCTGGGACACTCTCTACTTCCATAGGCCGGAAGCAAGATGCCTGGTTTGTGGTGGATCCTGAGTCAGGGGAGACACAGATGACTCTGACCACAGACGGTCCCTCAACCCCCCGCCTCTACATCGGCCGGACACGTGAGTCAGGCCCGAGTTGCCCACTCAGTTCCGAGCAGCTCTCCCTTCTGCTCTGCCCAGCTCTGGCTGTTGCTATCCAAGTCCAAGCCAGAGTAGCCAATCTGTCAGACAGCCAACAAACATTTTACTGGGCGCTGAACAAAGAGCTAGGAATACAGAAGAGGACAGAACCACCCTGGGCCCTGCCCTGGAGATGCTAACACATTTCCAGGCCACCAGTCTGGGTGCTTGGGAAGCCCTACCCTCACAAAATGAATGGCCCTTGGCGTGGGGGGAGGTGCACCCTGGTAATTTTGATATTGGGGCTCTCCAGAGTACACGGTCACCATGTATGACCCAAGAGCCCCAGCCCTGCGCTGGAACACCACCTACCGCCGCTACTCCGCAACCCCCATGGATGGCTCACGTGGGAAATGTGAGTGCCCCCTTTCTCTGCCTTGTCCTGAACAAGGTCCCCAAGTCAGGCAACCTGAGTGGCATCCACAAGCAAGTCCCACCACATTCTGACTGATCCACCTGACCTCCCCCTCATATACTAAAGGACTCATCTCTGAGAGACAACCCTAAGTGACCCTCCTCAACACCAGACTGACCCCATACACCCTGACCAATTTCTCAATGTCCTAACTCTTCCATGCCCCGAATGACCCCAACCAGGTCACACTGGATGACTCCCCACGTCCTAAGTGACTTCAAGCAACCTACGCACACTGTGAAGAATCCCTACATATCCTAACTAACCCCCACATGTTGAATGACCCCAGACAGATGACCCTAAATGACCTCTCCTCCAGATGTGACCATCCCCTTGCAATTAAGACTGTCCTACCCAACTGTTCTACCCAAGTCCTTGAGTGATCTCTCAGGTGTCCCTCAATAACCCTTTCTGACCTGACTCCCTCATACTGCTTGAGACCCCATGCATGTCACCCTGACGCATCACAAATGACACCTCCAGGGCCCCTGAATCACTGCCTCACACCTTCGGTGACTTTCCAGGGACCCACATGCACCCAGGCCACCTGAGTGGACCCTCACTGGACCATGTCAGACTACTGCACAGCAGAGTGATTTCTCTCAGATGACCCAGACTAACTGCTGGATGGTTCTAATGGCCCCCAAATCCTGCATAGCTCCCCAGAGGACTCTGACTGATTCCCTCTGATCTGAGGTGACCCCCTAGGGAACTCTGACTGACCTCCCCACATTGTGACAACTCTACGGGTAACCTCACTGAGCTCTACACAGATGACCAGACCCCCCCACTCTCAGAGGAGCTCCCCCGCCCCCAGAGCTCCGTGACTCTACCCCAGTTATCTCTCTCGGCAGACATGAGCTATCTGGTCTCCTGTGGGATGGGCCTGCTGCTGACCGTGGATCCAGGAAGTGGGGTGGTGCTGTGGACACAGGACTTGGGCGTGCCTGTGACAGGCATCTACACCTGGCACCAGGACAGCCTGCACCAGCTGCCTCATCTCACCCTGGCCCGGGACACCCTGCACTTCCTTGCCCTCCGCTGGGGCCACATCCGGCTGCCTGCCTCAGGCCCCCAGGGCACAGCCACCCACTTCTCTGCCTTGGACACCCAGCTGCTGTAGGTGCCCATGCCTGCAAGTGTTGCTGCCTAGGCTCCATGGCCAGGGGTGATAGTCAGCTATGACACACCTGAATGGCTGAGCCAGGTGTCAAAATATCAAAACACAGTAAAACCCGTGAAAGCTGGGCCCTGGGTAAGGTGGCAACCTGTTGGAGAAGGAAAACGCAAATATTTTCCACTGAAACAAGCCATAGAGATTTGGTGAGATTGTACCCTGTCAAAGGTGGAAAACTTGAGAGACCTAGAAAAACAAGGCAGTCCCATCCAGTTCCGGCTCTCATAGGTTTCACTTGTACCTCCAAACTGACTACTCCCAGGGCCCCACTGTCCACAATGAGTAAAGTCTGGCCCAGGAGGGGCCTCTAGGTTTCAACTCCAGTGTGACAGCTGGCACCTGTTCTGATTGACAGGTGCTTGTACCTTCCAGGTTATCAAATACTTTAAACATCATCCTTCCTTAGAGTACATAATACCTGATGGTCTCCATCTTGGGGACCAGGAGCCAGACTGAGAAATCAGCATGTGTTCTTTCATTCATCCATTCCACAAATATTAATTGAGCACTTACTATGTGCCAGTCACTTTCTAGGCTCTGGCAGTACAATAGTAAATAATACAGCCATTGTCCCTCCTTTGGGGGCACTCTCAAAGTCTAATAAGGGTGACAGATATATAAGGAGGTGACTGTAACATGGTGTGATGAAGTATGAGATAAGAAAAGTACAGGGTGCCATGGGAAGGTACAGAAAGGGTTTCTAAATCCAGACTAGGTGAAGGACGTAGTCATGGAAAGCTTCCTGGAGGAAGGGACATCTAAGTTGAAACCTAAGGGTAAATAGGAATAAGACAGAGATTGAGAATGGCATCTAGGGAACATAAAGAAATTGAGTAAGACTGGAGCACAGATCTGAGCAGGGAGTAGGTTTGAGGCTAGAAGTTAAGCGGGGACCATGTAGAGACATGTTATTAAAGCCTTTGGGCATTTTCTCCTAAGGCTACAGAGGAACCAATGGAGGGTTTTAATTAAGGAAGTGATTTGATGACATTTTTGAGAAAAATCCTTCTGGCTACAGTGTGAATAGCTTAGAGTGGTCCAGGGAGGAAATGGGGAGACACGGTAGGATATTGCATTAGTTTAGACAAAGATAAAGATATCCTGGACCAGGGTGCAAGCACTGGCAATGGAAATAGGTGGGAGTAAGAGAGATTATGAGGGGACACCAGTAAGAATTTGGTGCTTGGAGAGTTTGGTGATTGTGAGCAAGGAGTCAGGGTGATGCTCAGGTCTCCAGAAGTACATGGGCACTGTCATTTTCAGAAGTAGGAAGCCCTGGAGGAGGACGGGGTGAAGAAAGAAGAAATGAAGTGATGAGTTCAGAGTTAGAAAACTGAGCTTTCAAAAGAGGTCTGGGCTAGACGTGGATTTGGAAATCATGATTATGGAGTTTGTATCAGTTAGCTTTTGCTGCGTAACAAATCCCTCCAAAATTTAGAGCTTATAACCACAAACATTTATTGTTTTCCAAGACCCTGTGGGTCAGCTGGGTGCTTTATCTGATGTGGACAGGCTTAGGTACTGTCTGCAGTCAGCTGGCAGTTTGGCAGGGGATGGATGGTTTAGATGGCCTCATTCACCTATCCCATACTTGGCAGATGGTTTGGCTTATGGACATCAGACAGAAAGGCTCATTCTCTGCTCCATAAGATCTATCATGGCCCAAAAAGCTGGCCTGGGCTTCTTCATGTGGTATTCTCAGGGTTCCAACAAACCTGTCTCATTGGCCAAAGAAAGTCACATGACCAGTCCAGAGTCAAATTGGGAGGGGACTACACCTGGCCATGGATGCAGTGGTAACTGAAAGTACCCAGCACCATCACTTAATGCCTCTCCCCTTTCTCGGTCTCCCTGCCTAGGATGACGCTATATGTGGGGAAGGAAGAAGCTGGCTTCTATGTCTCTAAAGCACTGGTCCACACAGGAGTGGCCTTAGTGGTAAGGAGGGGACCTCTGGGATGGAAAGATGGGGTGGAGCAGGGAGGATCCTCACTCACTAATGTCTCTCCATCCTCCATAGCCTCGTGGCCTGACCCTGGCCCCCACCGATGGCCCCACCACAGATGACGTGACGCTCCAAGTCTCGGGCGAGAGAGAGGGCTCACCCAGCACTGCTGTGAGATACCCCTCTGGCAGCGTGGCCCTCCCTAGCCAGTGGCTGCTCATTGGTGAGGTCCCCTGGCTCCACTGTGGAGTAAATGAAGATAAAGGAAGTGTGGGTCCAGCTTTGGGGTTGGGAGGCTGAGGTCACCTGCAGCCTGCTGACCTTTGGCCTGCCCCTTAGGACACCACAAGCCACCCCCAGTGTTGCACACCACCATGTTGAGGGTCCATCCCACTCCAGGGGGCGGGACTGCTGAGACCAGACCCCCAGAGAGCACCAAGACCCCAGCCCTCTTCTTGGAGGTCAGTGCTATCAGGGCAGAAGGCCTGGGGAGGGGAATCCGTTGGTGGGAAGCCCTTGGACCTTTTTCTCAGGCTGCCAGACATGACGTTTGGAGGTGGGTCAGTGGACCTCATACAATATCCCAGAATAATTTTATTGTATTATTGTTGTCAGAAACATGTCCAAAGTGGCAAAAAGACACTTCTTTTAGCCTAATGTATTTGACTGCTAATCAGAAGGCTGGCAGTTCAAACCCACCAGCCACTCCTCAGAAGGAAGGTTGAGCAATCCACTTCCATCGCGATACCGCCTTGGAAACCCAAGGAGGGGGTTGTTATGAGTCAGATCCAACTCAATGGCAGTGCGTTTGGTTTTGGTTTTAAATCATGAAGCAGGGGTCACAGCCGGCTTTATTCCTCTGCAGTGTAAAAATTGCAAACTCTTCATCAAGTGAGAAAAAGAAAGCAGAGGAAAACCCCAAAGCACGTTCTCTTGGGAGAGTTACACAAGGGTCACTAGTGGTTCGAGGTTAGGAGGCGTGGCCGTGGCCTGGAGCAGTAACTCTTAAGTCTGACTGCTTGTCAGAATCACCCGGGAGCCCACTGAATTCAGAATTTCTGGAGGCGGAGTCTGGGAATCTGCACTTTGTATCTACACCCAGTAGATGCTGGTCATCAGTGGGGTTTGGAAAACTACACCCCTGGTGACGCAGTGGGTCAAGCACTTGACTGCTAACCAAAAGGTCAGCAGTTCCAACTTACCAGCTGTCCGGTCTGCACCCATATAAAGATTTGCAACCTTGGAAATGGTATGTGGCAGTACTAAAGGCCCTCTCTCCTCAGCTCCTGAGCCTGAGTGGGGAAGAATCTTGGAACACGGAGCTGCACCCTGAAGAGAAAACCCCAGACTTGTACCCACGGGTGGGTCCCCAAGACCTGTTGGCAGCCAGCCTCACCGCTGTCCTGCTGGGAGGGTGGATTATCTTCCTGATGAGGCAGGTGAGAGTCCCGACCTCAGGACCTCTGTGGGACTTCGTAAGCCCCAACTCTGCTCCTTTCCTCCGAGACCACTTGGCACCCTTCTCCCTCCCCCACTCTGACTGTGCACCCCACCCTCCCAGCAGCTCCCCGAGGCCCTGCCACTGTGCCGTGTGGGTCCATGCTCCAGCGCGAGGTCTTCTCAGGCACAGTTGCTGAGCCCGTCACGGGCAGGGCCTGGCCAGGGCCAAGCCCTCTTAGGCCCTCATGTCTCTGCAGCAGCAGCTGGTGCAGAAGCAGCAGCAGGCACCCCAGGCACCTCCAGGCTCTTCACACGTCCCACAGGGTGCTCAGTCCCGGCCCTCGGGGACCACCCCAGAGGGCCAGAAGACATGCGATTGTCCCTCAGAGCAAGGACAGCCACTCAAAGACCCTGAAGGTGAGTGGAAGTGAATAAGAAAGGGCAGAGTCAGGGACAGGAAAAAGAAAGGACAGGTTTAGCTTTAAAATCGGTTGATTAGAAGGCACTTTAGTGGTGAATGGAGCTCTGGTAGCCTGGTGGTTAAGGCATCTGGCTGGTAACTGGAAAGTTGGCGGTTCGAAGCCACCAGCCACTCTGCGGGAGAATGAGGCAGTCTGCTTTTGTAAAGATTTGTTGTTGTTGTTGTTGTTATGTGCCATCGAGTCAGCCCTGACTCATAGCGACCCCTCCTTAGGTTTCCGAGGCAGTATCACTACGGAAGTAGGATTGCCCAACCTTCCTTCCGAGGAGTGGCTGGTGGGTTTGAACCGCCAGCCTTCTGGTTAGCAGTCAAGTGCCTTAGCCTTGGAAATGCTATGGGCCAGTTCTGCTCTGTGCTATAGGGTCTCTAAGTTGGAATCGACTTGGTGGCAGTGGGTTTTTTTTATAGTGGTAAGGCATTGGGTTCGTGGTAGAATTCTCACCTTGCAGGCAGAAGACCTGGGTCCCCTTTCTGGCCAATGCACCTCGAGTGCAGCCATACTCACCTGTCAGTGGAGCTTTGTGTGTTACGATGCGGACCAGGGGCAGCAGATCTTTCAGCCTGAGACGAAGTAGAAAGAAAGGCTGATGATGAACCCCTGAAAATCAGCCAGTGAGATCCCTATGGACACAGAGGTCTAGCCGGGCGGTGTTCTGCTCTGTGGTGTGTGCAGTCATCCCTAGTCCAGGCCTCGCTCAAGGGCAGCCACAACACCTACAACACAGTGGGTGGGTAAGCCTAAGCGAGCTGGGGGAGTGGTTTGAACAGTGCCTAGTATGTCATTGAGTTCTAGATGTGTCTGTCATTGTTGTATTGTTATTGTCACTGTCAAGGACTCGATGCAGTTAGAATTGGATTTAAATCTTAATTCTGCTGATGAGTTGCCTAACTCCTCCGTGCTTCCATTTTCTCCTCCGTCAAATAGGAATAACAATGACATCACCTCGTTACATCAACTCATTGTGACAGGTTACCACCATTATTATTAAACCAAGCTTAGGCCATGTTACTGATTAATATTGTGATAAAGTAAAGTATTTGGTAGTAATAATAGTCAATTACCTTGGTATGACTTGATACCATTTCCCATTTTGAGTTTCCCTGAAACATCATCTTTTCTAAATTTATTCCTATGAACAAGCCCTTTCAATGTGTGTCTGGTGTCAGTAAGATGCTTCAGTGGGTCTTACACATGCTGTCCTTGGTTAACCCAGGTTACTTCTCCAGCTTCATTGGCTCTGGGCAGGGCAGGTGCCTTTACTTCTCTTTGTTGCTGGCTCCCCTTGGCCACTGCTCAAACCACTAGCTCATGGCTCAGAGCCACCTCACTGTTGTTGCCTTAACTCAGGCTGCAGCCCACCCCCTTGGCTGCATGCTGCAGGGCCGCTCCTGACCACCCGTGCTCACCTGTCCTCTGTGGAGAGGGAAACAGCTCCTCTTCTTCTAG